TTTCCTTTTCATTTAAAGTCAGATCATGGTAAACAGTAAAAAGATTGAGGACGGCTTTTTCTACACCATACAACCCAAGGTTTGGAATAAAACATATTTTTGATGTGGTTTACCCTTGTGATAATTAGCAAATCAAAGACACGTTTTTTATTCGTAACAAAAAATACACTGTAATTGGGCGCTAGCTTTCATATACCAAACTCATAACACTCTGCAATCAAATTTTGTACCTTTGGAATTTGTAGAGAATAAAAGGATGAAGGTCTTACCGATTTTCCATCATCAACGCCTCTTTGACCGTTCATAGTGTTACCAATGTCACGGATGGTGTAACGATTGTTCATACGATCAGGGGCTACTAAAATCACCAGAACATGCGCTTCCAATAGTACGGTGAATTATGCAAGTAAAGTCCACTGGGAGAACAGTTACGTTTTCAGGGAAAACATTTCAGAATGGAAAAAACCAATTTAGGAGAAGTGGCAAAACTATGACAGCGATTCTGTCACGTTACTTGATTACACCGAAAGAAGTGATGTCGATCATTATATTGCTTTGTGATAGCTAAATAAAAAAGAATCTTACTTCGAAAAGAAAAGAGATGAGCAGAAATGTTCTCGTGAAAGATGAGTCCTCAGAAAGATAAGCAAAAATTCACTGACCTATTGCAAAATCGAACGTGGTTCCACGACGGCGAGCATCAGGATTTACCTCTTTGATAAGGGATGTGAGTTCTCGGAGAGTGCAATCCATCCTTAAATATCTATGTTTAGCTAGACCGATAAAAGGCATGAAGCGAAGACAATTACCACGTGTACATCTGGAGCTCATTCGCAGGAACTCCACCTCTCATGTAATCTGATATTGGATTATGTCTTCCATTAGCACAAAAAACTCGTAAAAGTAGTGGACAAGTCTAAAACATACGCTATCCTAAGCAAAGGTTGAATCAGAGATTGAAAACTTCTTACCTTTTCTCGATCAACTGGCTTTTCTAAATTCACAG